GAAGGCCTTGCCGCAGTCGGGGCACACGTAGGGCTTCTCGCCGGTGTGGATGCGCCGGTGCGCGGCCAGGTAGGGCTTGTGGCGGAAGGCCTTGCCGCAGTCCGGGCACACGAAGGGCCGCTCGGGCGCGTGGTCGCCTTTGCCCCTCCTGATGGGCAGAAGACGCTCCTGGCTCATTGAAACACCTCACACCTCGGAGCGCACAGCTCCCCACGCAGGTGCCACAGCAGCCGGGGAGCCGCCCTGGGACCTGGGGCTGATGCCACAGAAGCTGGGCCGCTGCAGGCCCCGCACCTCACCTTCCAGAGGCCAGTCAGGCTGCCTCGGAGCCTTGGCCTGCCGGCTCCCGCCCGAATACCACGAACCTGGGTGTCAAGAGTATAGATTTTACCACTGACTTCGTGCGCAGTTCTTACGAGAGATTTTTCTGCCTCTGAAGTCCACCTTATTCATCTGGAAAGAGTGACGTGACTTCCTAGTTATATACCTCCCTGGGGTTGCAGGACCCTGATTAGAGAAACACCTGCCCAGGGCCTGCTCAGGTGAGCTGTGCAGGGTGCTGAGGAAGCGGAGCCTGGGACAGACAGCCCGAGGCCGTCAGCTCTGCAAAGCCTCACCTCACTGGGGAGGTAACCAGTACTCTGACCTCAGACCTGTCACTGCTGAGAGTGGGCAAGTCCTCTCCACCCTCGGGCTGGGGTCTGCCCCAGCGAGTGGAGTGTGCAGACCTGGAGTGTGCAGACCGGATGTCATGACCAGGGGCAATTCAAAGGCAGAAAGAATGAAGCACGTCTGGGAGCCGTTTCCATTAAGCAAAAAACAAAAGGGGGCGGGCGGGGGAGGCTGCACATGTATGTTTGCAAATGCAGGGGACAGACGTCCGGAAGGCGCCCTCAAAGTCTTTCCATGCGTAAAGAGAAAAGACGTGGGGAGGAGGGGGAGAAGAGGAAGAACTTCCCAGTTTTCAAAAAGCTAAATATGTCCACCATGTCTAGTGCTCTTGAAAAGCGGCCCTGGACTGTCCAGGCTGACGGGTCAGCACGTGCCGTGCTGAGCAAGGACTTGGAAACCACCACCCAACCCCCGAGGGGCCCAGGAAGGCAGCCCTGAGGGCAGGTATGCTCCACGCCTGCTGTCGCAGCCCCTCGAGGCCACGGCTGCCCAGCATGGGCAGACAGCCCGGAGGACGGCCACGCACCGGCCAACCCCTTTGACGGTGGCAGCCAGATCCTCGGTCAGATGCCTTCTCCCTCATCCTCCCAGCACCCCAGACGTCTGCCCACCTCCCTGAAGCCCTGGGCTCCCTCCAGAGGTGTAGTTAAAGGAGGCTTTCTTGAGACTACGCCCCAGGCTCTGAAACGTAATTTGTGTCAACTACACAGGTTCTTAAGTGGCCCCGTCACCCCATAAACCAATAGAGGAAGCTTTGAAGCTGTCTGCTTCCCGCCTACACCGGCGAACCCCACCCACCGACTGCGCACTTGAGTCCACCTCTTCTCCCCAGGCTTCAGGCTCTCGCAAGGGGGGGGGGGGGCAGTGGTCTGATCTTCGTGAGCCCTCAGCCCTCACACCATGGAGCAGAGGACAGGTAGCTCACCTCCACCTGCAGCAGCCGCCCCCCCGATTCACCAGGCAAACTCAGGGCCATCAACAGCGTGGGCCGGAGCCGAGCCCGGAGATCACCGGCGTGACCTTGAGCAAGTGCTGCCGTCTGTCAAGGGCACCTGCCACACAGGAGTGCAGGCACCTTGCAAGGGGCGACTCTAAGACGAGTGACGGGCACGCCGGGCACTGGGCTAGCTGCCAGGGGCCGGCAGGCATTACCGGGACAGGCAGGAGAGGGGCCTGCCACCGCTGTCAGGACCAGGCTCACCGGGGTCCGAAACAGCCAGGGCCGGGAGCCCCCTGGGGAGCGTCACGGCGCCGTGGCAGACAGAGGGTCTGGCCTCTTCTCAGGCACCGGCTGGTCTGACTTGACCCCAGGAAGGCTGAGCCCCGAGAGAATGAGCCCCACTTCTCAGTATGCCTGGCCTCCCCAGGGAAGAACTGGAGGGGGGCTCAGAGGAACTAACGCCAGTGTACCTGACTGTTAGCAAGCCCCCAGCTAGGAGCACACTGTGCTGCTTGCCTGCAGCCGCCACAGCTGCCCGGGAGAAAGGAACACTGCCCAGCCGCCAGTCTAAAACCAAATCTTTATTCTCTAGTTGAAAAGGAGGGCGAGTGGGTGTTCTATTTAGTTCCAGAGAACAGAACAAGGCCCAACAGGTAGAAACCATAGGAAAGCAGATTCATTCATTATAAGGAAGAACTTCTAGCAATTAGAATGATCCTACAATAGAACCAGGGCCTTGGGAGGTGGGGACCCCGTCACCTGGGCGCTCAAGCAGAGGCGGGCATCTGGGCGCTAACGGTGTCGCGAAGGAAACACACCCCACACGCCCCTTCGCCCTACCCCCTCTCCACCGCAGGACGAGTCCCCGGGAGGGTAGGGGTGTTCAGAGAAAGCCTGCCAGGGCTGCTGAAGGCCGGGGCCCCAGCGCTGAGGGGTGGATGCAGCAAGGCAGACTGAGCGGCGCCCGGGCGGACCTCCAGGGAGCGGGTGCGCAGGGCGGAGCAGGAGAGGGTCTCCCGGCCCAGGAGCCTGAGCAGGGCAGGAAGAAGGGGACAGGTGCCAGGGGCAGCGGCTTCCTGCCCGAGCTGGAAAGGCCCAGGGGCTGCTGACCAGGCCAGCCGGCTCTCCCAGGCCCTCGCTCCACTCACCGAACACGACACCAGGCCGGCTTCCCGCCGGCCGAAGGGACTGCGGGCGGCCTCCCGGCGGCCGCACGGGTAAGAGCCCCCACCACTGGTGGCTCCGGGCAGCAAGCTCTGGCGGGCCGCGGTCCTACGGCTGCCTTTCCAGGGTGGACCACGCCAAGGGCGGGAGGCTGGGGTCCCCGCGCCCGGCCAGGGCTTCCCCTGACGGGGGCAGGCCTCCCTCTGTGCCAGGTGCTGGCGCCCAGCCCTTCCGGTCCCAGCCTGGCCGCCGCCCACGGCCACGGCCACGCGCATGCCCCCAGGCCTCCCGCGGTGCGCGCGCGGCCTGTCACACGTCGTGCTTCTTCTGGTGGGCCAGGAGCTTGTCCTCGTCGTCGAAGGTCTGGCCGCAGATGGCGCAGCAGAAGGCGCCGTCGCGGATGTGGCTCTTGCGGTGGGTGATGAGGTTGGACTTCTGGCTGAAGCTGCGCTCGCAGTCGGGGCAGGCGTAGGGGCGCTCGCCCGTGTGGATGCGCCGGTGGGACACCAGGTTGGACTTCTGGCTGAAGGCCTTGCCGCAGTCGGGGCACACGTAGGGCTTCTCGCCGGTGTG